ATAAATACTGTTATGCAAACATGGACCAGGCTTAATTTGTCCTGTCAATGTGGCAGAAAAGGTGGACTCTGTATTGTCAACTCTTCTTACAAGAAGCATCTTTATCTGCAACTTTTAAGGAATAATAGCTGTGACAGGTCTTTTTGTTACAGGGAAGGAGACATGGAAATTGCCTTGCTGATGCTTCATGTTTATTCCTTTTCCACCTCACCTCCACCCCCAAACATGAGAACTTCCAATAAACGAAAGGCTTCAGAGAGCACAGGATAATTAAACATCACTGCCTTCGATTAGCCACGGGATGGAGATGCAGTGGCAATTATCACTGCTGTGTCAGAAGGCTTTGATGGAGGAACAACAGGGAGCTTTGTTGACAATCTTGTGGGACGACTATGGGTTGGGGAGCAAGCTATTTTTTCCTCACGTTGACAAGCAGAATCACCAAAATTACAGATCACATAGATATGTAATTTCTCCTTTCAAATGTTTTGAAGGCACATCACCAGCTTTTGAGTTTCTGAATTTCAATCCAAAGGTCTAAAACATGGCTTATTCAGGGAATGAGCTCCCAAGATTTATCATGATAGACTCACTATTCTTCTCTGAATACAGAGAGATAGATTTCATCCAGCACTGGCAGCCATTGGTGTGTTTCTTAGACCAGGACTAGATAAGAGTTTGGACAAGAGTAGAGCCCCACTTTCAGACAGAGGAATGACTTCGTATTCTAGCTTCATAGAGCTTTGAGGATTGGCTAATTCTTATATTCAAGTCAGGATCCAGAAGCTGCACGACACATGTGGAATTTATTTACAGTATTTATATGACTTTAGCCAATAAAGCCCTAAACGATTTCGGCCCAGCTTACCTATCCGAACGTATTTCTCCTTATGAACCATCTAGGACTTTAAGATCTTCTGGGGAAGCCCTGCTCTTGGTCCTTCCTCCTTCGCAGACATGTTTGGTGGGAACAAGAGACAGGGCCTTCTCAGTGGTGGCCCCTCAGTTGTGAAATGCCCTGTCTAGGGATATAAAATCAGCTCCTCCCTCCTGGCATTCCGATAAAAGGTTAAAACTTGGCTTTTTTAGCCAGCTTTCACTAATTCAGCATAATTATATGAAATCTTGGAACGGCTTGACAATGCAATTGGACAATGACTTTGGCAAGGAGATGCCATGACAATGTTTTTATGGCTTTGTACAGTTTTTATATTATATGTTAAATGTTTTAATATTATTTTATTATTGTTTTAATTGTTTCTAATTGTTGAGGCATGAAATGGTTGCCAACTGTGAACCGCCTTGAGTCGCCTCCAGGCTGAGAAAGGCAGTATACAAATTTGGCAAATAATAAATAAATAAATAAATAAATTCCATCCTTCTCATTCTGAAGGGGACTCAGATCGGATCACAGAACACATATAGGGCAAACATTTAATGCTAATTAGTTAGACGAAGACAGGACAGATGGATAGATAGATAGAGAGAGAGACTATCTATCTATCTATCTATCTATATCTATCTATCTATCTATCTATCTATCTTTTGGAGGCCGTGCTTGGTTCCAGCCACAGGGAGTGCTGATGCTCCATCTTCCCTGCCAAAGAGTGTTCATAACTTTCCTCCTTTTTTGGATGCAGTGCCTTATTTTAATACCTTCTCACTTTAACATGGTACTTATTTACATGCTTACATCACTGTTTTTGATCTGCTAGGTGGGCGGAAGCTGGCTGAATGGCCAGGTGCTTACCGCAACCCGGGCTTTGAACTGACAACCTTCCAGTTGGCAAGATTTAGAGCAATGCAGTATCCCAAATATAGAATTATATGCAATTTGACCTTGGAATAGCCTTAGACCTTGAACTGGATGGTGTGTTTTTAACTTTGTATTTTAATCATGTCTAATATGTTGTAATTTTAAACTATTTTTAGGTGAATTTGTTGTTTTCCAGTACTATGTATGTGCCATTGTAAGCCGCCATGTGTTCCCCTGTTGGGTAGAGAAAGGCAGGACATAAATATGGCAATTAAATAGATAAATAAGATTTGCTGCTGCTGACAGCTTGGAGATTAGCCTGCTGAGCTAAAGGCCAGATCATTCATAGGTGAAGGTCTATTCCTCTGTCCCATGGAATGCCATGCTCTGCTTCTTCGGAGTTCATCTTCCAATGAAGACAAAGCAGACTTTCCTTTGGAGGAGCCCCACCAGAAGCCTGATAGCCAGCCAAGTCCTCCTTCATTTCTGCAGATCAAGTCAGGTTCAGAACAAAAAGAAGACCTGGAGGAGAAGCCCCAGAGAAAGGTTGAGGTTATATGTACAAGGATTCAACCACCCATGGCTTGAAAATATATTTAAAAAAACAAAAATAAAACTTGATTTTGCTATTTTATGTAAGCGACACCTCAGTTTTCAAAACCCTGAAACCCAAAAAAGTATTTACCATATTACATGAATCTAATATGCACCCTAATTTGGGGAAGGTAATTTAGTCAAAAGAGGTGAGCGTTAGAATCAAGTAAATACGGCACTTTACTATAATGAGACTCAAGCATCCATGGATTTGGCATCCACGGGAGTACTAGAACCAAACCCCAGTGAATACTAAAAACCTAGTATATGTTGTAGGAGCTCCCAGTGGCACAATGGGTTAAACCCTTGTGACAGCAGGACTGCTGACTGAAAGGTCAATGGTTAGAATCCGGGGAGCAAGGTGAGCTCCTGTCTGTCAGCTCCAGCTTCTCATGTGGGGACATGAGAGAAGTCTCCCACAGGATGGCAAAACGTCTGGGTGTCCCTTGAGCAACATCTTTGCAGACATTCTCTAACAGCAGAAGCAACGGGATTGTGGCACAGCTGGCTGAGTGTCAGCTGCATTAAGATCACTCTGACCAAAAAGGTCATGAGTTCGAAGCCAGCCCGGGTTGGAGTGGGTTTCCAACCAATTGTGTGTAGCCTGTTGTCGACCTTTGCAACCCGAAAGACAGTTGCATCTGTCAAGTAGGAAAATAAGGTACCACCTTAAAGTGTGGGGAGGCTAAATTAATTGATTTATGAGGCCATAAAGAAGACTGCAGAAAAGCATTCCAGCGGGGAAGCATGTGGGAAATGCGGAAGTGCTTCATCAGCATCACAGATGGATGGTGAAAGCGACAGCTCCCCTGGCGGCCAGAAAAAGTTAAATAGCCTCTGTGTATGTCTGTATATGTTTGTATGTCAAAAATTGGCATTGAATGTTTGCCATATATGTGTACACTGTAATCCGCCCTGAGTCCTCTGTGGGGTGAGAAGGGCGGAATATAAAAGCTGTAAATAAATAAAATAAATAAACTTGCAGTTTCTCAAGTTGCTCCTAACACAAAAAAAATCTATATGTTGTTTGCCAAATACTGATGAGACCTGAAGCAAAGATATGGCAGGAAACCTAATGTCTCTTGACTGGATAGATACAGTTGAGTTAGTCATGGCTAACTTGGTCCTTTGGTTTCATTGGTTCTTGCTCTAAGTCGATTCAGACTAGAAACAGCTCCTTGAATTGTCAGTAGTAAAATATTATGTCTCAGTGCAATGGAAATCATTGTTTGATTCTGAATGGTATACTGAATGGTTTCAGCTCTGCACATTTGAAAGGATGAGAAACAAGTCCTGAAAAAGCAAAAGCATTGGTTCCTCCATCTCTAAAACAAAATACTTGTTTCTCTATCACTCCAAACACCTTACTTTTGCCATCAGCCCTAAACTCAGCAAACTAATAAGAAAAAAAGCAGTCGGTTCTTCCCTGTGTGCGACTGCTGAGCATTTTCATTTCTTCCTATTTCATTTCAGTATAAACTATTGTTAGCAGAATGTGGCAATTTCTCCAAGTATTTCTGCTGGTGCCTGCCGATAGTTACACAATGTTGAATACCATGATCGGCACCACAGATAGCAAAAGGATTATTGTGTGAATTTCAAACTGCAGTGTGTGCATGCGAGGTAATAGGTAGCGCATAATTCTTTATCATTCTTGCAGTCCTGCTTTTATTTGGGAGTTTTGACAGATTGAAACAATGAATACAGAATGTGGGAGGTAAAATGTATGTGCCGTGTCAAGAAATTAGTTGAATTTTCATTTCATTTTTTGGGGGGTGGAGCAGAAATCCAGTTGCTATTGACAGTTGTGTGCGTTTATGTGTGTGTGTGCTTCATACAGCTAACAGATGCTGAAAGAAAGGGAGAAGCAAACAACAAAAACACACATAAAATCAAAGCACTGCAATCTGCTCAACAGCTCCTGCTTGACAAGATGAAAATGATCAGGGACCTTCCCGAAAATAAGTGATTGATGTTTCTGACTCATCCAGAGCAGGCACACAGCACCCAGGAGTCATTTATACAGATGTCCCATGCATCCTAAAAGACGGTTCTCCATTTTTCTGCAATAAATGCTACCATTTGTGAATGCACAGAAAGGACTGAGCTTGCTTTTCTGTTCTATAGCCCCATTCTATAGTGTGGCTTCCATCTCTATGAAATGGTGAATTGATTCTGAATTTGAGTCTGTGAAACAGCTATCCAAGGTACCAAACCTATTTTGGTGTAAGTCCAGCACCTTAGACACCTTGTTTTAAAACTTGCCTCAGCCCCACTGATAGGGAAACCATCATCCTGCATTACACACAATAGGCTTGTGCACGGATCTGTTTTCCTTCGGTACCTTTGGTACCTTTGGGAGCCCATAATGGTAAGGTCTTTCCAGTACAAAAACTCGTCTGCAATGGAAACAAGCGGGAGCCAATCTCAGCTCCTCTTCTGCTTTTCAGCATCACAGTTTAATCTTTTTTATCAATCCCATCAAACAAAAAGAAACCTAGAGAAAATGACTGATAGTAATATTCCCTGAAAACTACTATCCGTTACCTCTCCTCTAGAGCAGAGAATAGAAACAGCTGTAAGGAAGCAAACAGAAAGGAGATTGAATTGTGCCAGGAAAAAAGAGGGGTGGGTTTTTTTTTGGGGGGGGTTCAACATTTATCGGTGCAGCAACATCCAATTTAAAATCTGAGCTTTTGGCAAAACCACTTGTTCTTGCCTGTCTTGTATCTTTCCTCAAATTTCACTTTGGCCTTTCACCGTGCCTTACATTTCAGTGCAGGGTCCCAAAATACATCCTTGTTGACAATGGTTTTGTCCAGGGGAATGTCAACGGAGTATCTGGTTCGCATCAAGTGGTTGTAATTGTACACTTTCACAAAGGACTTAATCTTCGACCATTTGGCAATCTTCTTCTTGCCCATGCTGGCTGCCACTTTGTGAGGGTAGCGGTCAGTGCCTGCCATCAGGGCATGGCTGTATGGACGGTCGGACGTACCACCATCAATATTCTTAACAATAACAGCTTTGCAGCCTGAGTAATATCCAGCCAGCACAAAGACCACCTTCCCAGGTTTCATAAACTTGCCCATCTCGAAATCATCAAGCCAATGGCATCTGAGATGGAAAAGGGAAAAAGAAAAAAAAAGTTGTGTGTGTGGTTTTTTCTTTTTAGGAAACCCAGGGAGGATAGCCCCAGGAGGTTATTGTTCTTCCTTCCTGGAAGTGGGGAAGGCTCCTTAGAATGCCTTGGAAAGAGTGCATGGCATGGTGCAGGCCCAAGAGAGAAAGCATATGCACCTGCCTGCAGTGCCTGTCCTCTAGAGTAGAAACAGTTTTAAGAATCCCTCCTTTAAATGCCTTGGAAAGACTGCATGGCATGATCCAGGCCTGGGAGAGAAGAACATGTATGTGCCAGTGCCTGCAGCACCTCTCTTGTAGAGTAGAAACAGCTTTAAGAAGCCCTTCTTTAAATGCCTTGGAAAGAGTGTGTGGTGTGGCACAGACCTGGGAGAGCAAGCACATGCACCTGCCTTCAGCACCTCTCCTCTAGAGTAGAATCAGCTTAAATGCCTAAAATGATGGGAAAGGGAGCCTGGGAACCTCCTCCCCCCAATAATGGCCTGGATAGAAAACGAATATTTTGGCACCCCAGTGCAAAAACAGATATCTGCCCTCCTGAATTCAGGAGGCTCCCTAAAAATGGATTAGAGCCCATCTGGGACACAGAAACAGATCAGGGTTGCACAAGCCTACTACACAGTTCTTGATCCACCACAATTTCTCCCAGAGTTTTCAGTACATAGTATTACTTAGGTGATCCCTCATTTTCCGAGTAGGATTGTCTTCCAAGATCAGTGTACTGGCGGCGGGTCCGTAGGTGACTGTGGAGCCCTATTCTTGATCTGCATCTTCTCCCACAGTGAGGGCATTGGTTTCCAGGTGGAAGGCGGTCCCGGTCGGGGTTGGCTTGACATGTCTTCCTCTTGGCACGCTTCTCTCTTTTGCCTTCAATTCATGCCTCTTCAAATTCTACAGCACTGCTGGTCACAGCTGACTTCCAGCTGGATCACTCAATAGTATTACAGCATATGCAAACCGAATCCTTGAAGCCCAGATCATGGTTATTAGAAATGACTGCATTGTGGGTAAAAGGCCTCAACATGACAATGAAGCAGATGGTAGAGGAACAAGATGTGTTAATGACTGCCTGGTTGTGGTATGAAAAACATCTGCATATCTTTAAATGCCATATTGAAGCATGAGACGAAAAAGTCAGTTCTTGTCATCTATAGGGACATGCAACCACGAATAAGCTTCTATGATTATCATGGAAGGCTGAGAAAGAAATGAACAGAAGTAGTTCTAGCTATATATTCATTTCCTTGGAGAATTTCAAAAAAAGAATGCGCATTATGGGGTTTGCAAGTTTGCGAACTTAGATGTGACTTCCTATTAGGATAAATGGCAACCATAAGACCATTGTATCTGAAGTGGGATCCCAGTGTTCTGTTTCTAATGGGGTCAAACACACTCTCATTTTATCCACAAACAGAAACTTGGGACACATTTACGTTAATTTAATGGATGAAACATCCAAGGCTTCCAATAAAAATGTAATAAATGTATAGTTTTAGAAGGGATGCTGAAATAATGCTATTATTTTACACTTCACTGAATTTTATTTTCTGGTGTTATTGACACTTAAATGGGCTTAAAAGTATATGGACATATAGTGTAGACATGCCATAGGAAGAATTGTAGATCAATTTCTGGTCTATCAAGAAGGTTACGCCAACACTGCATCTACACTGTGAAATTAATGGAGTTTGATGCTACATTAACTGCTGTGCTTCCATGCTGTGGGAAACTGACAATCTTGAGCAGAGAAGGTGAAAGCCCTTGTAAAACTATGACTCCCATTATTCCATAGCACTGAGCCATGGCAGTTAAACTGGTATCAAACTGTGTCAGTTCTAAGTTTCACCACTGCAACCCAAGGCTCCCCAAAGCAATCTTCAGTTGTCACAGACTGCATAAAAGAAAACATACAATAACAATTCTGCTGGCCTCAGGATGCGATCAGGAATCCCATGTGAGAAAGGAGGAGCACCAGCAAAAGCCCTTTGAATTATTGTCTCATTGGATCTCTGTTTATTGAGGTCCAAATCATGTTTCCACCTTTAATTTGCAATTATGCCAGTGCACAATTGATGAGGCACTTTCAGCAAATGATTTCCATTAATGAGCTCCTTTCTGAGATAATGTTGGAGGCTGGAAAGAGCTGGAAAGGGAATGGTTCGCTAGGGCTATCCTGTATTACAGAAGGAGTGAAAAGCATAGCATTTTGACCTGGAAATGTGGACCCAGACCTCACAGAAGCTTCCAACTAGCTCTGGAAATTATAGTCTCAGTTCACCATTTGTTAAACAGGAACCTTAAGGAAGCATGAAGAAAGAATAGTAAGGGAACCCGCAAAATGAAATCTAATATGCTTCATGCATGTGGAATATAACAAAGACTGATTCAGCCCCATCTATATAAATAAAAATGTAATGTTAGTTTGTGGGATTAATAGAACTCAAAAACCAGTGGGCGAATTGACACCAAATTTAGACAGCATACACCTAACAACCCAATGTATGTCCTTCACTCAATTTTTTTTTGATTTTGTCATTTGGGAGTTGTAGTTCTTGGGATTTATAGTTCACCTACAATCAAAGAGCATTCTGAACTCCACCAATGATGGAATTGAACCATCTGTTGGTCATGGATTCCCATGACCAACAGAAAAAACTAGAAGGGTTTGGTGGGCATTGACCTTGACTTTGGGAGTTGTAGTTCACTTACATCCAGAGAGCACTGTGGACTCAAACAATGATGGATCTAGACCAAACTTGGCACAAATATTCCATATGCCCAACTAGGAACACAGATGGAGCTTGGGGGAAATAGACCTTGACATTTGGGAGTTGCAGTTACTGGGATTTATATTTAAACTTGGCAAACAGAGCCCCCATGACCCACTCTACATCCTGGTGCAGTTTGGAGGAGAAAGGACCATGGATGGTGTGGCTTTCATATGGGAGTTGTAGTTCACCCACACCCACTAAACCCAGCTGACATTGGATCTTGATTCAATTTGGATCACATACAAACAGAGCCTCTTTCAAATAACCCAGGCACCACCGGGTCCCCAACTTAGTATTAAAATAAATATAGCATCTCTACTTCACAGATTTTCACTTTTTGTGGGTGGTCCTGGAATGTAACACCCATGATAAGTGAGGGAACACTGTAATAGCATTTTCAGAGAGCACCAGTATGTTGTGGTTTGAGTAGGACTCTAGGGACCATAACTCAAATCCGTGTTTAGCTATGAAAATGTGCTTGGTGTTCTTGAGCAAGTTTCCCACTCTCAGCCCCAGAAAACTCCATAATAGATTCATATACTAGGGTTTCCATAAATTGGATATGACTTGAAGGCATGCAACAACAGCAGCTGCAGCAAGAACAAACCAACAACGACAATAGCAAATGAATGAAATAGGACTGTTTTCAGACTCCCCCGAAAATACAGGGCTCTTGAAAATCCTATAAGCATGTTTTGAACTTGCTAAGGCATCATTATGAAGCATTATTCTCTCAATCAATAGAAAATCAATCAAACTAATATAATATTACAAGTGCATTAGTATTTTTCTTGCAGAAACCTAATTGTCACCCGATAGTAAATTCTAGTTTATGAGGTTGCTGAGGCCATTTATTCTAATTGTGGGGCTGGCCATGAAACTTGGGAACAATGTTAACATACTTAGTAAAACAGGGGATGTTTTTGTCTGAGCAGCAGGCTATATATGTCAAATCTGAAATATGAATGATGGGGCCATGGTATTTTCTATGTTGTTATATAATCTCTGAAGCCCATAACTGATTATGAGGTTCTGTTTTATGAGCTCGCGCTCACAAAGTAAGTCATATACTCTGCCTTGACAAATCTCTCCATGGGTAGGCCAATAATTTCATTTCACTTTGCTTTGGACAAGAATTTATCAAAACTCACATTTCGGTTTTGCACATTCAAGATGATAAATACTCAAGATTAAACATTTCAGTGTGAGGGACACTGAAACTGATGGATTTTCCCATCAAACCAGATGGTTTGGAGTGCTTAGCTCTTAAATGTTGAACTTTGACTCCCCTGCATTCATTAAGGAAGGAAAAAATATTGTAATCATAGATTAATAATGTATTTGCTATGGGTCATGAAGCTCTAATGAGAATCTTTAGCTGGAAGCCGTGCACTGAGCAAGGAGCTGGACCAGATCCCTATGATCCTATGACACATTGACCTGATTCTGCACAAAATAAATTTTGATCAGGATCCTGCCTTGATGTGTAAAATGATCAAATTGTTCACTGACATGATATGCAACCATGTTAGACAATTGTGGCAATGTATACAGGGCCCCGTGAATGGTATACCATTGCACAAGCGAGTCACTCACCATATAATAGGCACCATGCAATGTTGTGGTACCCTCACACAGTAAGGCACCACAACAGTGAAGACATTTTTTACAGTTGTGTACATGACTTTTGAATAATGTCCATTCTAGATCTTAAGTGTCCCACAGCTCTGTTGGAGGCATTGCTATCTTATGTCATCACAAAGTTTTCTAAGATCAACAGAGACACTCGCAGGAACACCTCAGCAAGCAAGAGTCCAAAAGTGGCAGGCTAAAACCCAGAACCTCAATCTATGGCTAATACCAAATGAGAGATTCCCTCCTGGGCACACAGAAGACTGGGTGACTTGGAAGGCGCTGGATAGACTGTGGTCTGGCACCACGAGATGCAGAGCCAACCTTAAGAAATGGGGCCACAAAGTGAAGTCCATGTCATGTGAGTGTGGAAAAGAGCAAACCACAGATCACCTATTATAATGCAGCCTGAGCCCTGATACATGCACAACAGAGGACCGTCTTATAGAGGCACTCCAAGTGGCCAGCTACTGGTCAAAGGACAATTAATTATAATGCCAAGTTTTCAAACTTTGTGGGTCTTTTTCTTGGTTTTTAAAAATACATTACAACTGTACTC